TCTGTTTAACATTCTATGTTGACAAATAAATGATACTCTCTTGTGCCTTTTTGTATCTACCAAGTGGTAGATTAATTTCTGTATGCTAATGAAGAATTATGTGGAAGAAAATTACTCCACGCTGCTTAATATTCTGTGGAAGAAACTTCTAGATAGCTGCTTATATATTTATTTCTTGTGAGTACCATCATGGTGTTGTATTCCACATTATAAATCTCTTGGTTATTCTGAAGCAATTTAGTTCAATACATATCAATATTTCTCTCTCTGTCTCCATTTCTTCCATGGTAAAATGCCTCCCTATATTCTCTTTCTGCTGCTGTCAGAACAAATTTTGCAATACTTGGAAATACTTTTACCAAGATATGCTGATGGATTTTTCTCTAGATTTTATCTTACATCTCATTGTAACATTTTAATCTCAACTCTTAAGCATGCTCTTTTATTTTTATGAAGCAGTTAATTGTCCTGTTTTCCTTCCTAATTAAGAAGTTATTTTCTTATGCAACAATCCTAATGACATAGTCTATGTCTTTTCTGGATACGCACCTCTTAGTATTTGTCTTGTCCAGCATGCAGTTTGATCTGGATGGTAAGCTAAATGTGTTCAAATTCATTCTAGTTATTGTATGTGATTTAGAGATGGTATACTTTGCCATTTTCTTTACTTTCCTTAATTAGAGAAAAATTGATTTAGGTTAATTCCTGTTGGCTTTATTTATATAGAATATGGACTGATGTTTACACTATCCTGTACTTTGTATTATTGGAGAGTTCTAAATGCAAAGCAAGTTTATAGAAATTGGGCCTTAAAATTGTGTGCCCATAGGTAGTACACTAATTAGTAGAATTTTGTTGAGAGGAGCTCCCCAGGGGAAAAAAGAGGAAAATTGAAAATCTGTGAACTAACTATGGCAGCAAATAACTGAAAATGGGGGGCAGAAAGGTTTAACATATAGCAAAAGAGGTTGCTGGCAATGTGGCCAACAGAAAACATGATGGGGTTGAACTTTTAGGATTGGCTAGAGATAGAAAAGGGAATTATGATACCATCTTGAAAGATGTTGAATATTATTGAAGAACACAAGTGCCTACCAAAAGAGAGAGAGAGATATCAAGAAAATAGGACAAGAGGGAAGAAAATAGAAAAAGAAAAAGGGCGGGGGGTGAGGCAACAATGGATTGCTTGAATATCAAGAATGTTTTAGTGTTTATTGCCTGAATTCTTTTTGTTGCTTTGGTTCACTAGCCAAGATCTTTAACCAGGCTATATATCCTGTTGGAATATTAATCCAAACCCCTACTAGCCTTCAATTTGTGAACTTATATATGATAATGTGGCCTTTCAGGCATCCCATGGAAGAAATTTTGAAGCTGTTGCCTGGGCCACATACAGAAACAAAAGGGGTCAGTTAACTTCTCTGTTTCATTGGATTCCTTTATTTAGTTTTCCATTTTTGTTGGTTCTTTTTTCGTTGTCTTACGTTTTACTGTTTCAACTTTCAAATATCTGCATATGGGATGTCAATTCTATGGAAATGTTTTAAGAATCCTCATTGACTTCTGTGCACCATTTTAAGTTCTTTGAATATATTTTACTGAGTATCAGTGCGTGTCTGTTTTTATAGGGAGGCTTTGGTAGCAGTCCGTCATTTGACACATTGCAGGGTGCTTCAATTGGCATAGACAAGCAAGTAATATTTTCCTTTTTTATGTATGTTTTGTAATTTCAGTTCTAGACAAACCACTAAATAATTTCATTCAGATTTGTGTTGGAATTTATTTTGGTAATCAGACTGTCAGTTAATTGTCCAAAAAACCAGTATGACTTTCTTAGATTTTAGTTATGATAAAAGGACCATGAGTGTGGGGCAGTAAGCTGTGACTTTTATCTCCCATTAGTTTATTGAGTTGCTTTAATAAAAACCTGAGATGGTAGTATCTATGATTACAGCAAGCTCCACTGACTTTCTGTTTTTAAGTTTTGTTGTGTATTTCTTCTCTGACCTCTATAATTTGAGAATATTGATCTTCATATTCTTTTCCTTTACACAAAAGTTTTTGTTTCTTGGCTGACTGCTTGAGTTATTGCAGAATAGCTGATGGGAGGTGCTCCCTAGTACTTGTTGTCTTTGTTGGAGGGGTAACATTTGCAGAAATTTCTGCCCTCAGATTTCTCAGTGCTCTGGTATGTTGATTCTTTTGTGTATATGGTATGTTTTGTGTCATCCAGGGTTTTGTTAGTATATCTTGGGGTAAAGCAGTGATTACTTCATCGAAATGCATAATATTGTTAGGTAAGTTGCAAACCAGTTTTCTTGAGTGTATTCTTTGAATTTGTGAAATGGGAGTCTCAAGGGATGTTATTTTCTCGTTTCTGTTGGATAGGATTTTGGTGATGGTGTTTCTTAGGAAGTTAAGAAAATGGAACATTGATCTATTGAATATCATCTCCTTTTCTTTATGGCAATGATGACCATAAAATACTATTAAGGCAATTGTATGTAGTTTCAGTGGTATAATGAAAGCATTTGGATATTTTGAGAATGGAAGTGGTGCTGGTGGTTTTCTCATGCTTGGATTTCTTGGTGTGTTGGTAGATTGTTATTGATTCTTATGACCTTCAACGACTGTATGAAACTATGGAAATAGTCAAAGATTCCATGTTATTTCTTAGTAGGTCCCCTAGGAAATCGTATGTTATAAGGTGGTTTTGGGTTAAGAAAATGAAGGTAATTGCTGTGCATGAGGTGCTTGATTGGGAAAAGCTAGCATCACCATTTGGCAAACTGCATTCCTTTTTCACATCTTACTTGCGCTTGCACTAAAATCGAAACCCTTGATTTGGAGGTATGTTATGGTCTATGTAATTTAAATTATTTGTATTTTATCATGATACATGATTTCTATTGACTCAAAGTGGCATCATCAGTTGTCAATTTTCAAGTTCCTGATGACAATGCAACAATGGTGATTTTGTGTTGAATGTACGCTTGAACACCACCAGTCTCTGAACCCTATAGGTTAAATTTTTGATGCAACGTTGCAACTATCTTTAAGCATAGCTTATCAGAGGGTTTATTCTTATTTGCTGACATTAATTATTTTAAAGTGTTCATCCTTTTTTCGTCTATCTTCTTAAAGTAGTTTTATTGATCCTACAAGTTCTGATATTATCCATTTCTCCTTATTTTAAGTTAGTTCCCCTTATATTGGTATCTATCTTGCAGGAAGGAATGGCATATGATCTGATTATTGGGACGACAAAAATTGTGAATGGTCATACATTGACGGAAACATTCTTTGAGACTGTTGGTTGACTTGTCCAATGCGTGTTCATTTGTGATAGTTTTATCAGTTTATGGGGTTTAGCTTTCTTATCTTACATGGACCGACCGCGGCATTGATGGTAATGGCTTTCTGGGCTATCAAAAGCTGTCAAGAAGCCCTAGGCTGGATTCTTTTATTTGATTTTAAAGCAGAATCTATTTAGGGGAGATTTATTTTTTATGTCGTAAGAGTGACTCGGGGATGCTGTGATTGTTACATGAGGAAGATGAACATACATTATGATCATTTTGGGATCTGTCGGCGAGGGAAGTGTACTTGAAAATTTTAAGTAGAAAAGTTTTAAGACTCCACGCTTTATCTTTCAAGGATGATTTACTGAAAATTTTTTTTGCGGGTTTTTATCCTTTTTTGAGAATCATATTGGAGTGAAATGTCTATAACAAGTTCGGTTTGCTGTCTTGGATTAATGAAAGTGTGGTTATATGGATTTATAAAACAATGTGTTTACCACTGCCTATCATAATGACAAATTTGCGCATGGATGGATGCTGGCATCAAACCGAATTTCTGTGTACAATTCGTGTATTTGTATTTAGGGATGTAATCAATTGAGTTTTAAGTGATATAATATTAAGTTCAAGCTCGATTTGAAATTCGACTTGAGCTTAATTGAGTTTTATTTTTTTAATTCGAATTCGACTCGATATATAAATCAAATTATTTGAACTCGTTCGATTAGGTTTGATTGATATGTAAAAATAAACTCGATTGTTATATTTAATAAAAATTCGATTAGGTTTGATTAATATGTAAAAATAAATTCGATTATTATATTTAATAAAAATTTGATTATTTGTGTTTGAACTTAAGTTTGATATATTTTATTAATTATAATAATAATAATATATTTAAATATAAAAACTTGATTAAGTTTGCGAGCTTTTGGAATTGGGTATAAAAATGCTTGAATTCAATTCGATTAATGAGTTAAGTTATTCGAGTTCGACTCGATAATAATTGAATTAAATTTTAGTTTTATTCGAATTGAATCTGAGTAATTTGTGAATACTAATGTATTATTTACATTTCTATTTATATCATGTAAAATATTAAAATTTGTGTATTTATATAAATTTTATAAAAAAAATACCGAGTTAATTCGTATTGACACAAAAATATGAAAATATATACATTTGTTTTGTTAAATTTATATATGGTAATTATTAAAATTTTAAATTGTATCATCTTCGTGTTTTATTTTTATATCATATTCATATTATATCATGTGATATTTTAGATTATTATATTTATTTGTTAATTTTTTTATGTTTATTTAGATAAGGTGATTGATGGAGATGATGAACAGTTTTTCAAATTCGACGAGAGATTGGAGTTGTTAACTTAAGATCGGTGTGATAATATTGGAGTTGTTAACGAATTTCATTGGGAAAGAATGCAAGATCCAAGTTCACCTCTTGCAACCTCTTCATCATTGTTTTCAGACTAGGTATACAGTTATCTTTTACTTGAGCATGGCATTAGGATTAGGTTTCTGGGGTGTTTCAGGTCCTGTTTTCTTCAGAAGGACTGGGAGATAGATTGGCATGAAGTGTTGCTAGACTTTAATCATTTCAGGATATGTTACTTGCACTTATGACAATATATATGAACCTAAAAGTTTCTGAATTTGATAATGTTGCTATGCATTTATGGATCAAATGAATGTTAGCCTTCAGGTTCTGTCTAATACCAAGATATATACACAAATTGTAACCAAGTCCCAAGTAACTCTTGCATGTCAAATACCAATAACCATTGAAAATAAAACAAGAGTACTAACACAGCAAAAAACAAGCCTCCAGGTGATAGAACATAAATATTGGCTAATCATTAGCAGAATTTTGACACTGCAGTCTATCAGTTTGCAATGTTAGGAAAGTTGTTCCAGTGTTAGCAAACTCCCATCTTTGCAAGTGATTATTTTTTGGGTTTATTAATGTATTAAGTTAAGATATTTTTCTTTGAAAAAATAGATAATTTTAAATGCAAGTTTTTATGTAAATACAAATTAATTTTTTAAGATTACATACTAAAATAATTAAACTTGATATTTCTATCCAATAAAATTTTTATTTTAATTTAAGTTAAATTTGCACAAAAAAATTTTGTTGGTAAAAATATATATTGTTGCAAAATTACTGTTTATTGCATACAATATAGATTTTAAAAAAATCTTACCGTTATAACCATATTTTTTGTCCAAGCAAAGTAAGGAAATCTTGTGACTTGTTCCCAACAGTTTGCCCTTACTTCTTACTCAAGTTACAATTAACCTGTCATCAACAAAGAAATATGTAAAAGCCAATTTTGATTTACGTAAATGAGAAAACCTTAGTAATTCTATCGTTCTCTCTTCTCTCTTTCATCCATTGTTTTGTATCTCTCGTTTCTTTTCTCATCATTCAATCAAAACGATCATCGGTGGGAGTTGATTTTTTTCTGGTTTCATATTCGTTTTTTCTTCTTGTCTGGCAACGTGGAATTTTTGAAGGGTTTTATGTTGAAGATGAAGTTTCCTTCTTCAAAGAGCATAAAATCAATACCTGCGTCACATTCTTTTGATATTGGTAAGCAATGTCGGAGAAGCGAGGGAAAAAAAATGTCATCTGCTGCCGAAAATTCCAAAGAGACTTCAGATGGTTGCAAGCGTGGTAGAACAGAGGTGATCGTGGGCGGTCCACAGGCGAAGAGGCGGAAGATGGATCGTATCGTGACTCAGCAGCGTAAGCGTTCTTCCCTTCTCAAAACACGCACGAAACATCCAGATAGGGTTTTCAATCAACACTTGGATACTAAAGCATTAAAGCTATTTGAGGAGAAGGTTGTGAGGGTGCCTTTGAATGCAGGAGCAGCAGGGAACTGTGCGGGGTTGCGGACATCACAAATGAGCAAGTCTGATGTTCATGGGGCTGTAAGTGCTTTGGATGATGAGAATGTTGTCCTACTTCCAGCAACCGATGCTCTTTCAGGTGAAAGATTGTTAACTTCTACTTTCCACGCTCAAATGTCACCCAAGAAAGCTTTCCGTGCTGCAATGCTGAAAAGTCGTTTTGCAGACACCAATTTGAAAGCTCAACAACAAATCAATAAGGTACTGTTTGATCATGTTAACAAAGTTGATCCAATGAAGATGCATCAGGGAGAGGAAAAGTTGGAAAGAAGACAACAAGAAGAAAAGGCAAAGATCATAACGGTTGAAGCTGTTTCAAAAATGAAGGCAGAAATTGAATTGAAAAAGCAACGAGAAAGAGAAAGAGAAGCTGCTAGGATTGCATTGCAAAAGATGGAAAAAACAGCCGGGATTGAATTGAATTTGGAGATTTTTGAGGAACTTGATATTCTGAGTGGATGCTCTCTTTCCCGTGGAAATCCACTACATCGGCTTGGATTGTTCATCAAACACGAGTATTTGGTAGGCGACGATGAGGAGGAGGCAGTTGAAGGTGCAGCCAAAATGAAGGCAGAGGTTGAGTTGAAAAAGCAACAGGGAAGAGAAAGAGAAGCTGCCAGGATTGCATTAGAGGAGAAGTTTGTGAATGAGCCTTTGAATGTAAGAGCAGCTGAGAACTGTGCGAGATTGACATCACAAATGAACAAGTCTGATGTTCCACATTTTGATGGGGCTCTAAGTGCTTTGGATGACAAGAATTTTGTCCTAGTTCCTGCAACAGATGCTGCTTCAGGTAAAAGGTTATTAACTCCTATTTTGGATGCAAAAATGTCAGCGAAGAAGGCTCTCCGCGCTGCAATGCTGAAAAGCCGTTTTGCAGACACCATCTTGAAAGCTCAACAACAGATTAATAAAGTATTGCTTGATCATGTTAACAAAGCTGATCCAGTGAAGATGCAACAGGAAAAGAAAAAATTAGAAATAAGGCAACTTGCAGAAAAGACTAAGATCAGACCGGCTGAAGCTACAACAAAAATGAAGGCAGAGGTTGAGTTGAAAAAGCAACGGGAAAGAGAAAGAGAAGCTGCTAGGATTGCATTGCAAAAGATGGAAAAAGCAGCTGGGATTGAACTCAATTTAGAAATTTTCAAGGAACTTGAGATTCTAAGTGGAGGCTCTCTTTCTAGTGGGAATCCACTACATCAGCTGGGATTGTTCATCAAATAAGAGTATTTAGAAGGCAATGACGACGAGGAGGCAATTTTGTATGAAGGTGTAGAAGAGGGAGAAATATTGTTATGAGTCATGACATTTTAAGTTCAGTATGAAAATATTGAGAAGGCAGTCCTTCAACATCAGCTTTCAAGTTTTAAAGTTATCATGACTTTTTTATATTGTTAATTTGTGGTTAAGTTGGTCTGCTTCTTGTGGCATGTCAGTATACTATATGCGGGATTTACTTTTATGTGAGTTTGATGTTAAGATTTGTGGGTAGGTTTTTAGTGTGAGTTTTATGTGAGTTCTTGTTCTGTTCAGCAGGGCTTAGAGAATTATGTACTTTCAGCTTTTAGACTGAATTAGCTATAAATTGGGATAAAGTATTGGAAGACTTCAATCATTTCAACAGATGCTATTTGTATTCGCATATGGCAATATATATGAACTTTAAAAGTTTCTGAATTTGACAATGTTCCTATGCATTTATGGATCAGATGAATGTTAGCTTTTAGATTCTGTCCAATACCAAGAAATATACACAACTAGCCAAGAAACTGTTGCATGTCAAATGCCAAAAACCATGGAGATCGAGATAAAAATGAAAACAGGATTAATAACATAGCCAAAATCAAGCCTCCCAGGTGATGGAATATAAATAATGGGCAATCAAAAGCAGAATTTTGACGCTGCAGAGTTTCAGTTTGAAATGTCAGGAAAGTTAAAGCAATGCTGTTAAGTTCTAGAGGTAACAAACACCCATGTTTCCCAAAATAATAATTATTATTATTATTATTTTGGGTGAATAAACTGAACAATTTGATGTTAGTGGGCTGGATAACTTTTATGCAAAATGCTTTCAGCATCTTACTTTCTTTAGTAGAAAATCCTACTATTTGACTATTTCTCTCTTTCCACAGTCTGTATTCTGTTAGTCATTAACAGCAAATGGTTCCTCAAACTCCATTTCCATCAAAGTTTATTTATGACAATCTTGAGGACGTTCTTGAAACCTGTTATGAGCCGCACGGCCCATCTGGCCAGCCTAGCCTAGCCTGATATACTTAAATTATTACTTGGATGGGCCAGGGTTAAGACCTACAAGATGGACCAAATAATTTTTAGGTTGACTATTATATATACGAGTAAAATCCCAGAGCAGATAAATTACTTCTGCCCAAATGGTAGCATTCCTCAACTTAATTTGAATTCAAATGTGATTGCTAGTCAATCATACAGAAATTTAAACTAACTGTTTTATTGTGATTTAGTTTAGGTTTTTTTTTTATTTTTATTTTTTTTATGATCACCATATTTGAAATGTTCAAGTTTGATTGATATTAATCGAAAAGATACTGAAAATAAAAATTCAAATAAATTCGATATCCCATCCCTAAATTAAGAAAGGTTAAAATAAAATATTAACAAAGAAACTTCATTTTTAAATTCCTTTATCATATAATTCACCAAATATACATCATATCTGCTTGGTTTTCCCCCTTAACTTTCTCATATATCCTTAAAACCCCATCATCAACCACATAAATATGTAGTTTGAAGCAACTATATATAACACAAATTGTAAAGCTCATTCTTCATGGCCTGGTCGAAATATCCGAGGTCGTTGAACACATTGTCGAACCAAAAGTGTGATAATTTATATACCGGCTTGGTGCGGAAGTACGATGAAACCCTTTAGGCAAGCAATTCCTAGTGTCTTGGCTACGAAAACCATGTTTCATACCTGTTTCCGGCTTGAACGTGACCAAACGATCTTGAGACTTGGAAACCAACGGCCTTGTTGCACCCGCGATAATTGCCATGGAATTGGTTCCTACCATCGAAGTAGGAGGAGATAAAAGAAGGAAGAAGTAAAGCAAAAACATGAAGCAAAGAGTGGTGGACATTGTGGAGCGAAGAAGAAGAAGAAGAAGATGGAAAATGTTGCTTGTTCTAAGGCCAGGGAATATTGTTTCTAATGTAGGGGGCAAGTATGAAGGGAGAGTGGGGTGGCTTTAAATAGGCTCGTGAGACCGACTCGATAGCAAATGCATGCTAGCTGGTCATAGTACAACTTGGTGCGGTGGACTATTGGAGATTTTGCTTTTGAACAATGCAAGGTCATGAAGCTCGTGCATTTCATAACTGTATATCTTCTTCGATTTTTATAGCTATTTGCTCGTCAAAAACCAAGCACTTTTACATGCATTTGCATTCCTTGATAGTCAATTGCATCGTCAATATTTTTTCCCTTATATTTTTTATTAACCAATGAGAGAGATAAATAAAAATACAAAAATAATTTAATCTCATTTTTTGGATTTATTGAAATCAATTATTAAAAAAATATGTAAAACTTTGTTAATTTTACATTGTGTAAATTAATCTCTCTTCAAAAAAGAATATTGTTGATAAAAAAAATATAATTATAATTTATTTTTAACTTTAGAAGCTTTAAATTAAACTCAAATTGTATTAATACCATTTTTCTTTCCTGTTTATCACTACTGCTAATTTAATTTGATTAGTAATTAGGCAACACTTAGCATACTAAAATCAATTGTTAATTTCACATTTTTCTCTTAATTTTATGATAAATAGGTGAATTAGCTACCAATTCTCTCTTCTTTAGATTAAGAAATATTTAAAAGAAATGGGGCAGCCAACAAGTCAACTTTGTCCCATGACCTCCTCTGTATCATGACGTGCACTTTATGGAAATGAAAATACTCTATAATCAAAGAAGTCAACCTTCTCAATACCATACATGTGGAAACTTTTGGTTGGTCCACGTAGTATAGCAGGTTACCAATTTGGCCACCCAATTTTCATTACCGTCCAAACCGTTTACACATCATCTCATTCATCTGCCTCGCTTAATCTTGAGCCACGTGTTACCAATATCTTGAGAAACAAAAAGGGAAATCTAGGGTTTTACGAACATGCAAGATCCCAACTACCAGCACGGTCAATCTGTACACGTACGTGAAAGGATATCCTTCTCTCATGTTTTAGGACATTTAATAAATAAATATATATATACACGATAAATGATTTTTAATTAAAATAAAATATTTAATATGATAATTAAATTTTAAAAATTTTAATATCATATTTGATAATTAATGTAACATTAAAAAATTATTTATTCGTCGTATATTATTATTTAAAAATAATCACATTAAATATAAATATTAAATTAATTAATAAATTTATAATTTAAATATCATATTAAATTTTTTAAAAATTTAGATAATTTTATTAAATATTTTATTATAGTTGAACGATTAGTTATGATATTAACATATATATATATATATAATTTCAACAAATTTTACCTTTTTTTTCATGTCCCATATATATTATATGTATATAAATGATTGGATGAATTTCAATCATTTTGTTTGAAGAAATGAAGGATTTGACTCTCTTGTGAGATTAGGATTGTTCAATCCTTGACAAGGAAAAACGTAAAAAACAATGCATTCTTCTTCTATTCTTCCTATTTAGGCAGAAGGGGAAAAGAAAGTGTGATTATTGCTTCAGAGAATTTAGTAGTTGCATTTTCTGTGGACCAACTCTTGATATCAAAACTTCTTGATAGATCCAGATGAGAGGCCCAATGTAACCTTTGGTGTTCAAGAAACTCAAATTCTATTAAATTGAAAAGCCGATCTATCCAAAGTTTTAGCCCAAGGATCCGTGTGATTTTTCAAAAATTTCAAACCAATCCCGTTATTTTAATCCAAATTTGAAAGTAGTCCTCGTTAGAGAGGAGTTTTATGACATATTAAGTTCTACAAATTTGATTGATTTATATAATTATTTTTAAAAAATAATTTTTAATAGATCTAAAATTTGAATTTCGATACTTATAATTTTGTTTCTTATTCTCAAGCTTTGAATTTTTATATGCAAATAAAAAATAAGTGTTAATGCCAAAATAATTAGTAGCTAGCCTGTTTCAAACTAGATTTTTAGAAGCATATCAAGAAAACAAGAGAAAAAGGTGTATGGTATTTCCTATATGTTTATGTGATCTATATATACTTGAAACAAAATTAAACCACCTTTTTGTTGAATTAGAATCTTAAATATAGGAAAAATGAAAGAAAACGTTGACTTTCTTCTCTTAATCTAATGGTTAAGAGACCGGTTAAAAGTTATGTAGTCGTGGGTTCGACTTTGCCATCTCCCTCCCCCTTTTAAAGGCACTAGCCTTCCTTTGCAACCAAAAAAAAAGAAAAAAAGAAAACATCAAATGAAGAAAAATGCTATGGAAACCACATCAAATTAATCATTTAATCCTAATTCAAGGAATTAAAAAAAAAAAAAGCAGCTAGGCTTGAACTTCAAATGAGTTAAGGACTCAAGTGTATGTTTTCAATTACAAGATAGCAAGCTAGCTAGGTGGGCTAAGATTATTATATATGTGAAACATATTACAGCTAAGAGAGGCAATTTATTTTACCTTGGATAGCTATACACAAATCTAACTTTTCCTTTCCCATTTTCTTGGAAATCGAATCCTTAATATTTTGTTAGACAATCCAAGCATCTTCTTATAAAAAGTAAATCAAACTTGAGGTAAAGCAAAGGATGCAATCCCAGTGATTATTCATTTTAATTCGGAGTAGTTTATGGCTTCCGAAAAGTTTACCAATCCAAGGAATGCTAGGGTGTGGGAATAGTTGACAAGTTGAACAAGCCGACAATGAATCTAGAATTTCCCATAAATCAGCATATACAACTTGCGCATGTGGTAGATACTTGGTTAGTTACCATCTCAAAAAACCCAGTTCGAATTCCTTTTTTCCTAAAATAAAAAAATTTCAACATAACTTAATTAAGTTAAACTAATTAATAAATAAATATGAACACAAATAATTAAACTTAAAATCTAGTATGAAAATTAAATTCATTTTTATTTAATAAACGAGTTTAATCGAATAAATTTAAATAATTCGATTTTTATCTCGAACCAAATTCAAATTCAAACTTAAAAATTAAAA